TGTTAGTTGTCGAAGTTGTTCATCATCATCAGCAGTCAGTTGAAGTTCTACTTGATAAAGTTGATCATTATTGTTCATTTGTGTAATTGCACCCACACGAAATACGGTGTGCATGGAGAAGAGAATTTCTTCTTCTGTTTCGAAATAACTGACCTCCTTAATAGAGGCAAATGGTGTTGATGAAACATGGGGATCAATGGTCATTATAAAAAGTATTCCTACCATATCGGTATTTCCTGAGGCACTTTCGGCGAAAACGAGGGAAGTATCTCGATTCAAACTGGTTGATAAAAAGTTGTTAAAAGACATCAGACCACCTTTTGTACTTTTCAGTTTATCGAAATCAGTTTGCAACAGACCTTGTCCTCGGTAAACTATAAAAGGCTTACCATGATAAATTTGAAGTTGTTGTTCATGCAGTTGGCGAAGTTGTTGATGAAGATCACGTATAAAAAAACCCATATTAATTATTGTATCGGCATCTAATGTTCGAAGTGCTCGATTGAGCATTTCTGAAGTAAAATACCCACGTGTATACCACCAGATTGCCTTTTCTTGACGATAATTATGTGCGAACTCATTAATAACGTTTAATTGACCCATGTTGCCATGGTAAAATTTGCCGTAATATGACGATACGACTCTGACGGCTTGATCATGATCATGGTCCATTTCAAGGAGAATCTCCTTAAATATTTGCGTGTACATGTAACTGGGCTCCAGTTGATTCAGATTTTCCATGGACATTACTTCATTCGTCGTAACAAAGCTTATAGAAATTGAATCCTGATTGACTTGTTTGACACCTGTCTTTAATACATCGCAAATGCTCTTCATATTGTTATGAACACCCTTGATCTTTTTCCAATCATTGGTCCATTGTTGATGATAAGGTATGTTCTCACAAAATATGCAAATCGCATCTAATTTTGGCATGTTATGAATTTTAGGAACCAAATGTTGTCCAAATGAGCCCGATATAATAACGAACGCTTTTTCATCATTGAGTTTGTCAAGAAATTCGATACATTCATCAGGCTGAGTGCATATAGTGACATTGTTAACCACAATTCGTAATTGCCTCAACGTATTTTGATAATCGGTGTTGGTTTGATCAATATTTGCATCGACCCAAAACAGTATATAACTTTGAGCCATACGCTGACGTGTCGATGGAGTTGCTGTTGTAACAGTAGTGTTAGAGACGCCTGAATTGGAGGCTGAACTAAAATGTTTCTGTAATTTTTTTGTGGTCATACTGTTGTGAATTGTAACTTGACGATGAATGTGGACTTGTAAATGACCGTTGTTATTTGAATGAAACTAGAGATTATAGTATCGGTTTAGATAAGCAACGACATGTTTTTTTCTCGATGCTTCTACGACACACAACGGCTGAATTATTCTGTCGCGATGGAAAGACAAACTCTACCGAGTTATTTTTGAAAATACGGTTATAAAATATAACGCAGAAAAAAAGAGAAACGAAGAAAAAGTAGTAATTTACAGCATTGAAATCAACTAAACATAAAGAAGACAAGACACTACTTTCTTTTATTTTTTTTCTTTCCAACTTGGTGTTACCTGTATTGGAGTAATTACTTTGCTATGCCAATGCGTAGCTGACACTTGTTCATCAAATGAATGTAAAAAGAAAAAGAAACACAATTCTTTCCGCGAATTTCTTTTTCTCTTTCTCACTTTTTAGTTCATCATGTTGTTATTTCATCAGTGTGGTTCACAACAACACAACAATTGTATATTAATAATCATTCTAGAGACACTGGATCAACCGACCAGAAGAAAAATAAGATTGAAAGATTTCTTACATTACAAACTATAGTGCTGACAATGACATTGTATTTGAGATAGGACAGTTTTACATATATATTCCACAAACTTTGATATTAGTGAATGAAAAATAAAGAGAGTCAAATAAATCACGTAGAAATCTGGCATCAAAATACAGATATATTAGTATAATCGTGCTCCTGATAAATAGAATTTGATAAAAACAAACATTATTAACAGCATTTCAGTTAAATTGTGTATTCTATATGAATATCTTGATTAAATCTATTGAGAACCATTCATTGAGGTGTGAGTGGATGTATATGATTTGATTTAGGAATCGAATACTACAATCACAACTACACTCACTTTTTTATTTGTCACAAAATTGATAAAAAAAAGAGAAATGATGTTTTAACAAGTATTTTTCAAGTAAGCAGCTGCAAGTTTATTTCATTGAAACTGACTTGACTAAAAATTTTCATGATATTTAGAGGTATTCTTCTACCGCTTCTGCATAACATAAATAAAACGAGAAAATCGACAGAAATATAGTAGAAAATAAAGAATTTTCCAAAAATATAATTTTGTAGGATCATAGAAATATTTTGCACTAACTGATTTCTATTCTATTTATCAGAGTGAAAAGCAACAAGTATCAACAATCACAATTATTATTCAATCTGGCAAATATCGTTTTCTCCCTTTTTTACAGTTTTATCATGCAGATCACCTCGGACATAATACTGACACCTCTTATGTAGAACTTACCTTCACTCTAAATCAATTTACGAAGTAATTTCTTTTCAAAAATAAAAACATAAATAATTTAAATCAGACATTGGACGAGTACAAGTACACCAAGTACAAGTATAAGTCCTTTGTACTACGTTCATTTACTTTGTACTTTACTTAGTAACTTTTTACTTAAGTATTTTTTACTCAGTATCAGTAAAAAGTACAACTGTACTCAAGTATCAGTAAAAAGTACATATGCTAAGTACTTTTATTTTTAAGCATAATTCGATGTTAACATAGTCTTAAATGACATTTAAATGATTCTATTAAATCAAAATTCTCAGTATACTGGTCATATTCTCAATTAAATTTATTAAAAACCTTGTTTTTCAAACTTTCTCTGTACAAGCTTCGTCCGTGCCGATCGAAAGAGCATTTTCGAATGTAGGTTTAATTTTAACGGTGCGACGAACAAGAATGAATGAGCAGTTGTTTAAAAATATGGTTTTTCTCAGAGTAAATCAATCTTTATTATGAATTAATATTACATCAAATTTTACGACAGCTCTCTCGTTTATTATATATTTTTAATTTATTTTTTTGCACTTGCTTTTGTCTTATTTTTTTAAAGAAAAAGTTATTACAGTATTTGGCTGATGATTTTTTCTTTTCGATAAATTTTTTATCATTTATCTGAAATTTCTCACTGTATGTAAAAGGAGATGTCAAAGAAAATATCTGCACACTTATTGTAAGTCACATTCAAATAAAATAAAGTTTTATGAATACAATTAGAGAACAAACATTACTAAGATTTGGGATACATATATTAATAAAGAAAATTTATGTACGTAAGTTATACTGCAAAAGCCAGACAAAATGAAAAAATGTAAAAACGTATCTTGAATAATTGAAAAAATATTGTATAAATAAACGTACCAGTAACGTCAGCATGTAAATACCTAATAAGAAACTGTTTAAGTACATTTTGTACTAATTGTACTGTACTTAAGTAAATAAGTACCCAGTACCAGTACACAGTTACGATTTCTAAGTACAAGTACATTTACTTGTACTAAAAAATTATTACTTATACTGAGATTTACTAGTATAAAGTACAAAAAGTACCAAGTATTTTACTTAGTATCCCATCTCTGATTTAAATTGAATATTCTGTTTTCATCTTCGAAGAAGACGAAAAATAAATAGCGTGCAACATGATATATTTTATTCCAATGTAATTCTAAAGATGAAAAGTTTTTTACTCATTAGATTACTACATTTATATAAATCAATTCAAAGAAAAACAGAGAAATATTTCATTGATTGTCACTTGATCGATATTCAACTATTTATAGATTTAAAATCACGTATAGAAATGAAGATTTTGATCTCTTCGAAACATTTTTCATTGACACGGTTCTTTTATTCAACCAGTTTCTCTTTACAAATCAACAAAACTCTTCTTCATTATATTATTTCCATCATTTGTAATTTAAATCGAAGATATGATAGGTAGATATTATTTGGAACTAGTAAAGTAATTAATATCTACTTTAAAATTCTCCAATAATACACTTTTCGAGATATAAACAATATTTTGTCTTTATTGACAACGTCGTCTCGTAAAGATATTTTTCTTAATAACCTGCATATTAAAACGCATAGACAATTAATGACAACATGATTAATAAGCTTTCTTTTGTTAATTTTATA